ATGTTTATTTATAAAGCAATGTTTAAACCATGTATCATCTACCTTCCACTTCACAAAAATGCTTTTTCTTATCCCATAAACTAGTAATAAACTCATGCGTTTCATAGTAGCTTGAGAAAATGTTAAAAGTGCAAGTCGTACGAGTATTTTCTTTAGAGACTGAAAATAATTGATTTATTCTCCAATGGCAAACCATTGTAAATCAATGTCTTGAAATAATATTGAGCCGTTTTACAGGGTGGGTATGTCCTTGTGGGCTCTGGACCTTTCATTTGATGAGGAGGAATGAGCATGTAAGGGACTGTAATCATTTTTACATCATCCAGGGCCAGTGCCGTATAATTAGAAAGAGCAGATTTCCTCGACCACAGAAGGGGCTGAAATTGCAGGCCTTGCCTTGTCGAGGACTCTGGAAAGTAACTGAAATAGCATTGGCGAGTTTCTGCCCTTGTGTCCGTCTGTGTATTATAGTGTCGGTCAGATGGCAGCTCAGTCACCATAGCACTCCGCTGCATATCCACCAGCACTTCGATTACCAGCTTTTATGTGGCTCCTCATGTTTTCAGAACCAACTACCAAAATTGCATCTTAATCCGTTTAGCATGCAGCATGACAGCAACCTGTGTCGGCACAATCTGGTATTAAGAACCTGCTGCAGGATGTGTGTCCTTTTTTTAAGTTAAAATATGCCCTCTCCAACAATATATCTCAATATCCTCTGAGTATCTGTTACATGTTTTAATTATTGAACAGATAGGGGCAAAGTATTGAGTTGGATAACATGAAAAAAGAAAGACTTGCTGCACTTTAGGTTGTTTGTTCTCCCATTTGTGTTAAATGTATCAACACAATCTTGCAGGAAATCATATCAATAAATAAGGTTCCTGAGGGAAATTGGACTAATGTTGGTAACTTGTCTATTAAATACATTCAAATTACATATTTTGAAATTTCCCTTTATCAGTTAGTTCTAAGGAGGAAGGTTAGCAAATTGCACTAAAAGACTGATGCAAAGTGTTGTGATGGGGTTTGTCAGTGGTTATTTTTCTTATTTAAAGATTTCATTTGGATTTCTGTCCAAAAATGCAGTTGAGTTAAAGTGTTATTATTCTTTCAGAATCTAAGTTTTGACAATGTTAAAACTTTATAGACTCTGCAGAGTGATACTCTATACAAAGTCTTGCATTTTGTCTGAGCTGATCCTTCCAGTCAGGTCAGGGTAACTACAGGTTTTATTGTAAGCCCTTTTTTTTTATGTCTGGGGTTATGCAGAGGTGTCATTGGACATTTCTGTTTCCTGTTTCTAGCATTCTTCTTTGTTTGGGAGCTTTTAAGACACAAGACAGCTTTGTGTCCATGCTGGTGAGGCGGAGGAGTGCAGAAAACAGGAGGGTGCTAATTGGAGCATGCCTCCTTTGCATTAGAGCCTTAAGTGATTACGTTGCAGAAATAAGCCAGAACTTGTGTGTAACCAAAATGTCATAAATGTGGCTCACCACATCTGCAGATCTGATTTGGCTTGGTCTGTTGATGCATGGTCTCCTTTACTAGTGAGGTAATTCATCTTGTCTAGAGGTTTATAATTTATCCATTTCATTTGTGGCAGTGATGAGTGAACAACTTTATTCTGGAGAATAGATTAATATACTGAGCTGTAGTCGTGACTCAGCATATTATTGATATGCTCAATCATTTTTTAATACCCTATGAGAAGGTAAAGTCATTTATACCTCAGATGGCAAGCATACAAGCTTCAGGGAACATATATGCAATATCAACAGAAAAACAACCTTCTAACAGACATTAAGAAATGATTATCTGTAAAACTGGGCTCCAAATTTGGAAAGAAAACAGTAAAATTAAAACTAATGTAGTCTGCCTTACTGGGGCATTATTTCCCTCTTAAGCTATTTATATGTAATTATATTACAACCACAAATGTAATTTATTCAGAATGGTTTTAGACCTAAATTAATTGCTACATAATGCAGTAGTGTATGAAAAATTGTGTCTAAAAATAGAATCTGGAAAAGGAATTATCTGTGCTGTGTTTACAGCTGCATGTCATTTAAGATATATCTCGACTAGTTTTGCATATCTTAAAGAGAAAACCTGAAACTATTAAACTTTCTCAGTCATAGACAGAAAGGGCGGAAGGCATCAGTTAAATTGGATGTTCAGGTTTAAACACAAATTGGCGCTTTGGACTTTGGCTAGGCCGTGCCAACTCATGCATTAGCTTTAATCAAATCCATTTTTTTTTTACCTCTTTTTTTTCGTGCTTGAAGCTGAACTTTCATCCCCACTCTCAAATGCTTTGTAGAATTTTAAAACCTTTCTTCTGTATTAACTTAATCTATAATCCTTTAATGCTGACTATCTGTATGTTCCTGTAGTAGCAAAGTATCCCCTCAGCATGATCCTTCTACCACCTTGTTTTTACTATGCAGGGTGATGTTCACTGTTCGTTTCCCTGCGGCATATAGGGTTTTATATTTAAGCCAGGATTCTTACATGTAAAGTTTTCTCTCCTGCGTTCCTTTTAGGACCTTTGGTAGAAAATGAAATTTTTTGCCACACCCTGATTAATACTTTAGGGAGTGCACTAGGGTTGCAAGATATTAGGAAAAAGTATATTTGATGATACGATCCTAATAAATGATATTATAGCAACAACACTTTCAATAATTATCATTGCAAACAGATCAGGCTGTTATTCACAGAATCATTTATTATTTAAATTTTAGCAAAAATGTCTTATTAAAAAAAATAAATAAATAATTACCCCAGCTTCTGCCCATCCTTTTGGAGAGGACACATCTAGTCTGTAGTTGCTTATTGGCTTGATTACAGTACCACCTCTTTATATTGTAAAACGTTCTATGTGATACGCACAGAAAGCTTGAATGCTTCTTATTGATTAACCAGGATCCTTGCAGTTCAGACAGTCGTTTGCATTGTGCATTTGTATTATACCATAATATGTCTGTGATATATACCAGCAGCCCTAGTGAAGGCAATTTAATTCCTGCCAAAAGATTCTTCTAGCTGAGATTTGCATCTCTGTGCCTTCTCCAGAGCTACCGCAGGTTTTCTGACTGAGTTTTCTGTCTTAAAGCTATTTTTAGCACTACCTTTAATGATTATAGAGAGGAAACTTTTAATGTGAAACCTGTTTAATATTTATGTTTTTTAGGATTTAATCAAAACAGTTTCGTAAATTGGATATAAGGTAAGTTGGCTGTGTAAAATGTGGTCATCTTCCTCCCACTACTTTCTCTTTGAGGGGAAAACCACATCTTAAAAGGAATGCTATGAGCAAATATTTGATAAAATCAAAACAAACCTAAAATCTCATCCTCTTTGCATGATATATACCAAACACCGCCCAGGAACATCCAGAGTGGGTCATCAGGGAAAGTTTACAGTATTTGTGTTTCAATGGCGGGCTCAGTTTTCCACTAACTTGATGTCCTTCTCATGTTTCGTAGAGGCATGGGAAATACTCACGGGCCCATGACCTCTGGTGTTAAACACACATTAAACAGTTTTGTTTTTCCCATGTCCAGGTCTGTTTTACCATATCTATTTATCTACCATATCCACATCTTTATTTGGATCCCCAGGAACTTATTAATAGGCTTATCTGTTCTGTCTGTTCATGAGCGAGAGTTTGTGGACCACATCAATTTGACTGTGCAAATTCTCAGTCGCACAGAACTGCTCGAATGCAGACCAATATAACTGACAAAGTTGCCTGGATAGGTTTCGAAATTTTTTTAGAAAAACTGAGCGAAAGTGCCTGTTCCAACCGTATAAGCCTGTTTTGTGGTAACCACATCAACTGTTTCTTTTCCTTCATGTTAGTTGGATTATAACAAGCATTTACTGTGCTGTAATTGAACCTTGTTATTGACATGTACGTGCAGGTTTTTAAAAATGCAGAGGACCCACTTTAAAGTGTTTGCCAGAAGCAGCCGCCTCAGTTAACCTTGGTGCACTGTTGCCCACTCTAATTCCTGTTCCCAGGGACATATCTGTTGATGATACAGGTTGAAAGCATGAGGTTTAGTTGCTGTTCAGGCTAAGGTACAACTTTTCCAGAATAGTAAGACATTTTACTTAAAGTATTATCAAGCTGAACGTCACAGGCAGTTTTGAACTGCAGCGCTTAGTGTCTGGAGGCAAAATAATTTTACCAATGGAGTCATCATGTTTTTGAAAGTCCCCTGTGTGCACATCCTCTAAGCTGCTAAAAACATTATGTTTATGCCAGGGGAAAAGTTCTTTTTAATGGCTATCAATTAGTTTAAGTTTCTTCTTACTTTTTCCAAAAACTTTCCTTTTTTGTTTTGTTTTTTGGAGAGCCGTAAAGTAAGGAAAGTGTGCCTGATGATGTGTTAGCTTTTACAGAAGTCAATGCTGCAAGTCCCTGATAAAAAGAAACATTACATCAGTGTGGTCTGATGGTGCCAAGAGTAGTAGAGTGGGAAGTAGACATATCATCACCGCCGGTCCTCACATCATCGAGAAGGATTCTTTTCTTAATGTGTAACATGCTCCACTTGAGGTTTTACATCTGGAAAATTTGTTTAACCATTTTTGCTCTGCAGAGGACAGCATGCTCAAACAAAATAAAAACAGTATCTCTCCTTTATTTTTTTAAATTAATATTGGAGATGCCAAACACATGAAATGAACCAAGAAAATCTGAAGTATTGTGACCAGCCTTCTTCATTGTGTTTTTGTCTCTTTGATCGGCCGCATACTTGAGCAACACTGCCCTCAAAGCAACTGCAGGAAGTTGTTTTGCTCAATCTAGAAATGTGCCTTGTGTTTAATAAGTGTTTAATGACCCAGCAGAGGGAGGGGAAGTGATTGTTTTACTTTGTAGATGTATTAAGATCAGTACAGAGATCAAAATATTGTTTATGCTGACTGTTCCTAAGATGTCATTGCTTTTTGATTTGGCATAAGGTAATTTCTGTTCTTCTTAACAGGTGATGTTAGCAGCCTTGGTGCTCAGAGGAGATTCCCACCTGAGGTAAACCCACCGCCTCAGGGGCCTGGCAGTAGTCATCCTTATGCACAAGATGATTTATCAAAGCTAGGATTATCCAAGGGAGTGTCGATGTCTCTTCCTTCCTCACCTCTCCTGCCACGACAGTCCTACATGTTGCCCTTACGTCAAAACAAGAGATCTCCAGGTAAATTTTTAACACATTTGGTACACTCTTCTCGACATTGCACTGTTGATGCTCCCAGTTTTTGCATTTTTGTTACTTACTATGTGTATTTTCATAAGTTGCTAAGTTGAATGAATGATAAATCCTCATACATATTGGGAATATAATTTTCTGGGGTCAACAGCTCTTATCTTTAGACAAATTTAGTACAATAAGTCATAAAGTCCATTAATTGTAAAATATTTACAAGTATTTCTTTTTGTAAAAATAAATATTCAGATCACATAAGAAGAATCTCATTAGTCTTAATGGTAAAAATCACTAATCCTTTGGTTACTTTATACTAGAGATGTCCTGATTAGTTATATTTTGCAATGGTTTGCTAAAGCAGCAGTTTAATCCTGCCATGTTTATTCTTAAACTGACATGACTTGTTAATTAGTCAAGTCGGCCTAATTAAATGTTTAAGGAACAATCTAATTGAAATCAAACTTCTAAAATAAGTTGTTCTCCTCCTGCTTTAACAAAATAAGCTTATTTGCCTCGTGTGTTTTAGCCCAAAAGTTGGGTGGCTCTTTAGTTTAAGATTAATTAAATAAACAGGAAACAAAAATCTGATCCAACCTTTGGAAAATCTGCCAGATCCCATTTTTATCTGACTGATTGCTGCAACCCCAAGGAAAAACACTATGATTACACATTGATAATTAGGACTAAAAACAATTAATCAGAGTAATCGTGATTAATCGGTTATTGGAATAATCATCAACTAATTTAATTATCGATTAATTGTTAAATGGAGTATAGAGACTGTAAAATGTGTCATTAGCTGAAAGACCAACCCACCTTTAGCGGCATTTAGACCAAAAAAAACATAAAAAATATGTCAGCATTTTTAGATGCTCAATCCAGAACTCCTCAGGTGGAAAAGATTTAGTTTGACCTGGTTTAATTTGGTTAAAAGTCTTCTTTAAGGAACCTTTTGCTGTCCGATCATTATCTGATTAATTGAAAATATAATTGACAAATTAATCGTTTTAAAAAATAATTGCTAGTTGCTGCCCTATTGATAACATCTCAACAAAAGGTATAGAGAATAAAACCCAAACAGTTTATAAAAGCTTTGATTGAGTCCATACTTGAAATCAATTAAAAACGATCTACTTTTTGTTGGTAAAGTTCCTTTGTCTGCTTCTTAATTCCAACTCAGTGTTTGTTTTCTTTCTCTATTTTGGGTTTGCTGTGCCAAAGCCTCTTATCTTTTTTACTCTACACCCTCTCAACAAAATGTTGTAGGGATTTGAATAAGCACAGGTGTCGAGATTATTGTTCTGCTTTTTGTTGTCTTGGGTTATATTAAATGTTTGTTCGATGAATGTTTGACATAAGTCTTTATATTCAGTGTCTAGCAACTTTGGAAGTTCCCCACAGTCAGCAAAAAACAAAAACTAATGCTGATGGGATGTAGCATCCATAGATGAGCCTTATATACCCTCAACATCAATATACCCTTGAAAAAAAAAAATCATCAGTGTTAAAATAAGCTTTCATAGCAAGACTCCCTCACAATTGTGCATTAATTTTTACTGTGTTCATTTTAATATTTTTTTTATGAATTACAATATCTTGACATCTGAAATATTCTGTATTGTGTGTGTATGACTGTGGGGTTTGTCTGCCTAGAAAACTACCTTGTCACTTCCCATTCATATTTGATAACTGTGAATAAAAGAAAAGATCCTTGAGCTCCACTATATACACCCCAATGATTGGCAATAGGTGTGTATTTACAGTGGATTGAACCCCCGGCGGGATTTCTTCTATCTGACATGTTGAGAACATTGTCACCAGCTGTGGAGCGCTTCAAAGCCATGAATACCTTTTGTAGCTTAACTTGTTCCAACCTGAATCTTTGTGCTCTGCAGACTTGGCAAAGAGGAGAGACATCCTTTAAGTGGTGACTGTGGCCCCCACTCACATGTGGCACTCATCTGTGGGCTATGTCGCTATTGTTTAGAGTGGTTGCAGCTGTGATCTGTTTAGTGTAAAGATCAGCAGATGGGAAGCTGATGGCGTGGTTTTATGTTCAGACAAACCTGTGCTTATTAGGCACAGGCTACTTTTTAAACAAAAGGTTCAAAAAAGTTTCAAACTTGTAACATTTTGTAAAATGACAGTGTCTTTTTAATGGATATTCCTTCTCCAACTTCGAGCAACATTGTCTATGATTTTTGTTATCAAACATCAAGGGTTAAATATCAAAAACTATGAACACGAGTTTGTTTTGTCCAAGAAGGTATCTGTCTGTCTGTCTGTCTGTCTGTCTGTCTGTCTGTCTGTCTATGTATATATACCTATATATATGTATTAATGTATATGTAAAATTAGTGGTGGGCCGTTATCGGCGTCAACACGCTAATCTATTTTCACACTTGGGTTGGGAGCTGTACTGTACTGTACTGTACTGGGTCTATACTAATGATGACTTTCACCTTGATATTTTACCACGGATATATATCTGGGGGTGAGCACAAATCGGTCTTCCAACCTGTGTAGGCGTACTGTTAAATTACCACATTGAACGTGACGGTGCTGACATGGATGCAGCTCTAAGCACAGCTCTATCAGCCAAGCTAACCAATCCCTCGCTCAGTGAATAGCAACAAGCTGCCAGCGAGCTTGTTCTCCAGGCAGCCACAGGTGACCCATCTTAAAAACTACCTGCGAGGCGAATACATGATCAGCATACTGGAGAAAGCCGTGAAAGAAGTTGATCGAGGGGACGTGTGTAACATTTTTTTGAGACACTATATTGTTAAAATGGGAGATCTATAATATGAAGTGGGACACTCTATTTTTTGCAGCAGAAACACAGTAACAAATGGGCAAAGAAAATAAGTTATAACTTTGTCAAAATCTAAAGTAAGAAGACAAAATTACGTGTGATTTTGCAAAAATAAAAAAGTAAACCATTTCTTTTAAATTCTGGAGGTAGCACACACATACCATGAATGCTTTTGGTAGAATTAAAATGAAAAATCTTTAATGGATTAAAAAAATATATCTTGCCTAACCCTAATATATATATATATATATATATATATATATATANTATATATATATATATATATATATATATATATATATATATATATATATATTTGTGTAGAGAGAAAGATTTAAAGGAGAGGAATACTTCGTGAAGGTGAAAGGGACCCTGAGGACATAGCAGAGGAAGTCTCATTAAAAGCATATTGCTCTTGGAGTGCTCTGAGGCATGGGAAAGAGGAGAAAAAATGGACAGACAGGATAAGAAGGATGATAGGATGTTGGGGGTAGGGTCTGCTGCGTTGTCCTTACAGGTACCTGTGAAAACCCCTCGGAGGGAAGACTTCACACCTTTAGTTAATAAACACATGCTGGAGAAAATGTCTCAAGTCTGTGACAAAATCGACATGTGAGCTAATGCTGTTTTCTTCTGGAGTCGTTGAAGCCACTACACAGCATTTTGTCAAAAATGATTATACTCTTCTTTATGTTAATGAAACTGAATGTATTTGTTAAATCCAAGACAAAGGTCTATTAAGGGGTTGTTGTTGCAGAATTGCTTAACCTGACTTAAATGTATTATAGAAATAGACTGAATACACCTGAGCTCATGGATATGGCCCATTTTCACCAGGAGCCATTTCTAGAATTTTCTTCAACATCAGGACATAGACTCATATTAATAATGCAACTGTGTTCTAATAATAACAGAAGAGCAACAATGATCTTTAATAGCAATTGAAAGAACTTGGTTAAATATTAGAACATTTATTTGTAGATTAGATATTCTTTAAACTCTATCTTTGAGCATTTGTAGGTTAGAGATGCTTGGAATTGGTTGGAAGATCTTGATGGAGAGAACCTCATAACTCAAAATAATAAAAAGTTAGAGACTTTGGCCTATTACTTAAATTTTTTGAATTTTGCTTAATTTAAATTAATTACTATTTTTTTATTTATATCACGGATATATATATATATATCATATAAAATCCAGTTGGTTTCCATCAGCCTTATAAAGAAGCCATTAATAAAATGAGCAAAAGGATGTCTGGGGTACAATTCCCAGTTCTGGGTCATTTCTGCATGTCATCTCCTCTCTCTGCCCTACTTCCTGTCCAGCTACTAATTAATAAAGGCCATAAAGGCCACTGTATTATGAGCAGTTACTACAACAATGTGGCTCACAGAACCATGATAGTTTTTTAATATAACATTATAGAGCAACAAAGATAACAGCGATGAATCTGCTTCAGTAAATATCTGTATCATACATACTTTTAGCACATATTCTCAGATTTAAACTTGAATTTTTATACCCAATACCCAATTTAAGCTGATGATTTCATGCCAGAGCCTATGCTTGAAATACAGACTACCGTAGTTAATATGTCGTTGAGAGACTTTCTAACAAGGTGATCCCAGCTGTTGAATTTGACGGTTTTGCTCCTGCAGCTTGGCCCTCAGCTTTATGGGGAAAGACACCATTGCTTAAGAGATCATGACAGAACTTTTCCTAAGCTAGGCGTGGGCTCTAATCCAACATCGAAATCACTTCCTAACTTCCTAGATAGAGTGCTCAAAGTATTTGGAAGAATATGTGTGTTGGCTGAGTCAATATTTAACCATCCTATGATGATTTCTGTCTACTCATAAATACATTGATCAGTGTTCATTAAAAGCTTCAGTGTATTCTTCTGTGCTTTCCACTTCTTTGATCATGTTCCCATCCAGCGGGGATGTCTCTGAGGGGAAGTGGTTCCACAGGCTCAAAAAGCATTTCTGTTTCCTTTTTTTTTGCGGCTGGGCTTCATTTCCCGACACATTGGATAATCTATTGCAGTTTGAAAGGCTCTAGGTTGGTGGTTGTTATTTCTGTGGAAACTTCAGAGGGGGACAACAGAAAAACATTGAGTTAATTAGGAGTGTGACGGATGCCTGAGCCGCATAGTCTGGTGGCGTTGAGTGCTGCA